CAATACTTCGCTGTTTGGGGAACAAACACACACACACACACGCACACACCACACACGCAGCGAGTTGATGTTAATGTTTTTTTTTGGTGCCGGGGTGTCTGTTCTCATCAGCTTCGGACCTTGAACCGCGACAAAAAGCCCACCCCCAAACCCTACATATCCCTGAAATATCCCTAAACCCTAAATATCCCTAAACCCTAAGTATCCCTAGACCGCAAGAGCCGCAGGAGATGGTGTCTGCTACAGAGGAGGAGCTGGCTGCTTGCTCCACTTATCAGCCACCGGCTTCGGTGGAGGACCGGTTTAGGGTTTCCGGTTTAGGGTTTAGGGTTTACTGATTTCATAGATCCCCCGAGGTATCCTAAACCATGAAAGTTCTAAAGACATCTACAGCATCTATGTAGGGCATGAAAAGGCTTCCCTCTAACAAGGTAAGGCACACTGTAGTAGTTTAGGACTCCAGACAAGGCCCTCAACCCTATCCCCTAAACCGACGAGCATCCTGCATCACCTGTTGTAAGGTGGGTGGATTCCCATAGGAGTAGTTCTGTAAATTAGGGTCCCGCTTTAGGTCCCCAACTTAGTACGGCAGCCTTATAAAAAGGACCCTAGAAGGGACCCTAATTTAGAGATCTACCCATATTTTAAAGTTTAAAGTCTTCAGGGCCCAAATTCAAAGCCCCAAGCATCCTTTAGGGAGGTGCAGGGTTCCGCCCACCAACCGTATGAAGGCTGTAGTGCTTTGGGAAGCCGAGGCGATGTTGCAGGAGGTCATGGATGGAACCTACAAGGCCAGGTACTGAGCAGATCAGGGGAAGATACTACTATACCACGTTCTGTTAAATGTTATTTTGTTCTATTCGATTCTATTCGCTTCGATTCAATTCTATTCTGTCCAAACTATTCTTTTCTGTTCGATTATCCTATACTGTAACATATTATGGTTTGTAGTATGTTATCTTACAATGTAATATAGTATATTATACTATGTCATGTTGAACTATATCATGTTTTATTATATTCTATTGTATTGTCTATGCTATATTATAGTTCATCGTTACTACATTGTTTTTGTTTACTGTGTCTTAGTTTACTATACTGTGTCATTTAGCACTATATTACAGTGGACGGTATTTTATATGATCATAGTATAGTATGATATAGTGTAGTCTAGTATAGTGTAGTACAGTATAGTATAGTAAGGTATTAAAGAAACAGTTACAAGTAGCTTCATGGGGGTAGAAGTAGGCGCAACTACGGCTGCCTTGCTAGGGGTGCAGGCGCCGATGGGCTTTGGTCTGGGGCTCTGGGATTTTGGGATTGAGGGTTGAAGAATCGGGTCCCCATGAAGCTACTTAACATCATACTTACTAACTTATACTATACTGTACCATATTTTAATATAGTATAATGCTAATTTCTCATTGTAGTGTAATTAAATTCCGGGTGCAAAACCTTTGTATTTGGGGTCGGAGGGCTTTGGGGAACCGGTCGCAGGGTTCTGTCCGGGTTTAGCGGCTGTTTAGGGTTTAAGGTATCACGAGGCCGAGGTGTGAGGGGTTGAGGGCTTGGCCTTCGAGTGAGCATGGTTTTCATCGGTTCCGATCTATCCCCGAAGGATTCGCCTCGTCGAGGCTTTTGGGTTGCTGGGGCATGCAATCTAAGACTTGGGTGGACATCTGGACCCATCGTCGCTTACTTGACTTCTTTTTTATGATCTTGGGCATGGTCTACAGACCTACAGGCATACAGACATACATCAATATGTACACACCTACGTACATACATTAATCACATTCCATACGCATGCTTCCTGTTGTTGCGCTGAGCCTCGGCAGGCGGTGGCCACGCGCGACCGCGGAGGGAAGCCCATCGCCTCGCGCTTCGTGGTGGTGCAGGCGCTGCGCTCCGAGAATCCGGTGCTCTGGGACCGCCCCTTGGGTGCCGGGGAAGTTGGAGGTTCAGGAGTTTATGTAGAACCCGAACCCCTGAACCCCTAAACCCGAAACCTGCAGGGCAAGTCTGGCCAGGAGTCGAACAGAATCCTAGGAGCAAAAAGCCTTGCTCACACCATCGTCCTAGGCCTAGGTTCGAACTTGGCCAGAGTGAAGGAGTCTTCTGGGCATGCCTTACTCTGCCTATGAGGGCTGTTCTAGATTCGAAGGCCTTTCAGGGTCCTTACAACGCAATGAAGCGAGGGGACAAAGGGAGCCTAGTCGAGTGAGTCTAGCTAGTGCTACGACTAGATGTGCTCTGCTTCAGCGTCAGGTTGGCTTGGGGTGTTCGATTTTGCCATCGCAAGTGTGATTTCCCCTGCCCCTGACAGGGACTCTAAATGGTTGTCTTAGGTTTCATGACCTGTTCATATAAAGAGTTGCAGCAAGTATTGCGGCGTTCCTCTTTCTCCCACATACCGACAAAGACACAATCTCATAAAGCGACGACGTGTACTTGTTCACTTACATACACCACGTGCATCGTCAATGCTAGTTCTGCGTGAACATACCTACAGGCATGCATGCATCAGGCCCGTAAACGAGGCAGGTGTTTGCGTAGGATGTCCTGAACGCTGAAGCCCAAGCGATAATGCCCTTCCTTACTTAAGTTAATAAGAACCGAGGCCAAACAAAGGTAGAATGATGTACTCTAAAGGGTTGTACACATCATATATGAGGGTTATAAGTCATGAGGTTATGAGGGGTATCCTTACCGTTTTCCTAAGCCCTAAGTCCTAAACTTTGAACCGAGTCCATGACAGATGGTTTCGCAGGACCGCTATGCCGGACGCCGCGAGCAAGTGGCAGTTCAGCTCTCAAGCCGCGGGGAGGACAGCTCCACAGAGAGCCTGCATCCCTTACAGCAGGCCCATGAAGAAGCCTCTTAGACACCCTAAGCCTTATAAACCCCTTAATCCGAAACCCAAAACCCTAGCTAGTGCTCTCCTACCAGGTTCGGGCTGCGATGCTTTAGGTGTAATGTGGGGGGTGTGGAAGGGTGCGATCACGGTGCAGCGCAATTTGCACTACAGTGGCGATTCTTTGGAGTTGTCTCGTGGACTTGCAACAGACTGAATCCTTTGCTTGGTTGTGCAGCTGTCTCCCGAGTTGTCGTTCAAGACTTGTATCGGCACCAATTGTCTTCGAAGTTTGTGTCCCTAAACCCTAAACTATAAACTGAACCCGTACACGTACTTGCAAACCGTAAACTGCCCAGATCCACCCAACCCTGAACCATGAATTAAGCAGCCTGCAGCGTCCTGCTGCGACCCGAGTCGTTGTGTCGTACCGCCTTTCCCATCGCCCCCCAACCTTCCAAGCCAGGCTGGTGTGAGATTCCCTGATAAACCCTGAACCCGTTTTATAATATATATATATATATCCGAATCTGGGGGTCTTGCCTTCGGGGTCAGGGTTTTGAACCCAAGGAGTTGGGATCAGTTAAGGATTTCAGGCGTTGGGGTTAGGGGTTAAGGGTTTGAGAGCTTCAGGGTTTAATGAAAGCTTCAGGATTTAGGGTTCCACCTAGGACCTAGCTGCCTTCCGGACACCATAAACAAAATTTCAGCAAAATCCATCCACCGCTCCAAAAAACAACAAATCGAAGATGCCATTTTACCGTCTCAACAAGCACCGTGCTTAGGGCCTCCAGGGCTTAGGGTTGATTGCAATCCCCAGAAAAGCCTGCAAAATCGCGAAAGTCTCAGAACGGTTCCAGCAGATCCATGTATGAGCTCTAGGCCATACCACGGTTATGGCATACCAAAACCCACAGACCCAATATACTTATAATACCAAGAAGAACTAAGAATCAGCAACTCTAAAGTCCCATAATCTCAATAATCTACAACACGAGTAAACAAGTTTTAAAGATAGGCACACTAGATAACGACAGCTAGATGATGTCTCTCGAGATGAGCATGGAGACATAAACGAATGAATATGTATACAAACAAACATATTTATATGCATATATATATATACACAGATACATGTGTATATATATATGTGTGTGTGTATGAATGACACATGCATACACATACGTATATACAAATGTTTTTGTACACATATATATATATAGAGATGTACAGACACACCGCAGAAGCATGTAACATACAAACCTTGATTTGCAAGAGGATTTTCCCATCACGCCTTCAACACTCTCGGCCTCCCTGGGTCTAGCGCTCCGCTGCTTGCACGAGGCCGCGGCTTTTGGTTAGGGTTTGTTGCTTTATGATTTAAGGGTTTAGAGTTCAGGGTTTGGTTTTTTTGGTTTAGGGGTTTAGAGTTGACGGTGTGGTTTGCCTGACGCCCCTGCACTCTCGCGGATTCTAACTTGCCCGAATCAGCTACAAAGACAAAAGGAAGCTTAAACGCCTTCGATTGAGTGTGGTGCAGGGGGTAGCGAAGCAAGGCGGGATGCCACCGCGGTCTCGCCTGCTTCCTAACCAAAGACCCTGAGACCTTGAACCTTGCGCTCCTTCACCCTACGTAAACTTAAACTCCCAGTAAACCCCTGAAACGCCGTAACCAGTACTTTTGGCACATAAACATCAAGAAGCCTTGCGGAGCGGGTCCGCCCTGGTTCCCAAACACCCAAGAGAAGCTCTCCCTTTGTGGGCTCAGGAGCATGGGAATCCCAGCAACGAGGCGTATCTTTTGCATGGCGCCTAGCCAAAACAAGGAGTGTCGGCCTTCGAGTGTTGGCTTCGAGCTTGCATTGACGACCTCTTAGGCTGCACCCACCACGCTCGAAGCTCTTGTTGCCCGAGTTATATGGTTTCTGCAAGTCCTTGCATGACGGCTTTGACCTCTCAATCCCAGCCATCCACTCAGCTCCTCTGTCCCCTCGCCTAAAGTATCTCAAGAGATCCCAAATGCAGAGTCTGTCGAGCACTGCCCCCCTCCCTGAGAGTGTAACCTTAGAGTTCAGAACGACCTTACAAACCCTAAGCCCTAAACCCTAAACTCTAAAACCTCAACCCTAAACCCTAAACTCTAAAGCTAAACTCTGAAACCTAAACTCCTCGCCCTGCCAACACAGCAGCGTCCGCGCTCAGGAAGCAACCCTACATCTGCTTTGTCCATCCTCCGCACCTCCTTCAAAATGGCTTCTCGGTTGAATATAGGTATAATCTGGAAGCTAGTCAAAAAATCAGGGATCATTCTGATTTGGGGCTGTGTGTTTCGGCTGTGTTTAGGATAGGGTCTGCTGTAATCGGGGCCAGTGAACTCTAATCCCTAATCACCCCCACTCCCTAAGCCCGCAGTTAACTTAGAATCCCGAAACCCTAAACCCCAACTTTACAATATCTCAGCCCCCTGCCCCGACGGTTTCCGAAAATCCCAAACCCTAAAAAAACAACAACAAAACGAGTCCAAATTCAGGCTTATCAGACCCTGCACTCTAAGTCCAACCTTCTCCCGGTAATGAAGAGTCGGCTTGAAGCAATACTACTGGGGATCCAAAATCCTATTGTTTTAGGGGTTATATCCTTTTATTATATAAGGGGTCATGACCTACTATCTTGTAGGATTTGGGGATACAGGTAGTAGGTTCTTGAGCTTAATGCCAGCCCCAGACCCAAACGACTCCTGAATACCTACACTACACATGGACATGCCGACATCCCCACGCTGCAGATGACCGTCGGTAGGCTCTAAGTTTGTTAAAGCCGTGCGCCCCAAGCCTAAAACCCTAAAACCCTACACCCTGAACCCTGAACCCTGAACCCTAAAACCCTAAAGCCCTAAAGCCCTAACCCCTAAACCGCTAAACCCTAAGCAAGGGCAAGCCAGTCTCAGCCCCCAAAATAGTCGAGGGCTTGGCGGGCCGGAATGCCGGCTCCATGTTCGGCCCCGGCGTCTACCTTGCGGAGTCGCTTCTTGCCCACTTTTCTGTCTTTGAGGTTAGGGTTCATTTTTGTTTGAGCTTGGTTCGGGCCGTCACATAGGGTTTACCACGGATCTCAGCGAGTCGCCTCTTTAACTCTGTGCGGCTTGTCATGTGTTCTGGGTGAAGCTTTGGGAGTTTAGGGGTTTAGGAGTTTAGGAGTTTAGGGTTTAGAGTTTGGGGTTTTAGGGTTCAGGGTGTTTAAGTGTTCCATGAGGTTGCATTAGCTCCTCTAAGGGTTCTACCGCGTCTCTACGGGGGTTGAGGGTTTGCCGTGTTTTCTGTTTTTGAGGGCTTTTTGGTGGGTGAAGGAGGGATCCACTTATATAGGGTTTGGAGCTTTGGGGTTTGGGGCATCCGGCCCTCGGGCTTTTGCCTCGGTTTAGGGTTTAGGGTTTACTGTAGGGGTTTAGGGTATCAAAAGCTCAAGATCCGACTTATGGTGTTTGGTGGACTGGGCCTATAGTGATAGTGGTTCCGGGCGTAAGGAGTCTTGAATCTAGACGTTTTGGCATAAAAAAGGCTCGTTTCGAGGCACAGCATGAGATCTAGGGTTTGGTATTTCAGGGGGGTTTATGGGTTCGGGGTGTCTTGGTTTAGGCGGCAATGGGTTGTGGGGTTCATGGGTTCATGATTGCAAGGTCTTCGAACTTAGAACCCCAAACCCCCTTTGACCCTTAGGTTGGCTTCTATAGCAGCCCAAAGCTGGGTTTAGGGTTTAGGGCTTTCTAACACCCTATGAGCAACCCAGGTCAGTGAAGGCTGACGAGTATGCGCAGGACGACACCAACGGCTCTTATGCAGGCCTCCGTAATGAGAGCGACAACGATGTTGAGACAAAGGTAGATGGTATATTATATGATGTTATGTTATGTTATATTACCTCATGTTACACGAGCTACGTGATATTCTTGAGTGCATGACTTATACTGATATGGTAAAGACTGCAACAAACATGACAGTGTTCAGCCGACAACAGCTTGCTTCGGTATTTCGAGTGGAGTTTTGCTTGCAGCCTGTTCCTTGTTGGTGCTCTCATGCCAATCTCCCAGAGGTGAGTGCTTTGATTGGCTGGGTTCGTGTAGACCTCCGGCCACATTCTTGATGGGGCTGGTCGGCAGAAACGCGGTCCTTTACTTGAGTCGAAGATGAGCTGCGACAGAAGTTTCACCAGATCGCTAAGCGTATCAGCAACAACAGCCTCAAGCACCAATGAGCTCCTCCAAGATAAGAAGCCCTCAACCCTAAGATCGAGCTCCACCCGCCCCAAACCCCGAGCGCTTCGGCCTTTAGAAAAATAAGATCTTACAAATCCCGCCCGAACTCAAAACACGCTAAGCCTCAAAACCCCCCCAAAGAACCCCTAAGCCCTCAAGACATCGTGTAACGCCTGATATGACTGATATGATAAGCCCCGAAGCTTGCTAGGGCTCTATGCCGTGCTCTTCTGCCGCGCCGTGGTCGGGCGAGCGCTGCAGGCCTCATCAGCATTTTGGGCTTTTGTTTTGGGTTTTTTTTTGGTGTTTTGGGTTTGCAGGGCTTTAGGGTATAGGGTATAGGAATAGGGTTTTAGGGTTTAGGGTTTAGGGGTCCAGGGTATAGGCTCTAGGGCTTAATTATCTCTTTTCGGGGCACAGGAGGATAGGCCGCGCAAGACCTTAAACATCCTTCAACACTGAACCCTCAACCCTAAACCAAGGTCTTTGTTCAGCAGGGATGTTTCTCCCTAAACCAGAGATAATTCAGCCCTAAAGCCCTATATCCTAAACCCCTAAACCCTAAACCCTAAAACCCTATTCCTATACCCTAAACCTTAAAACCCTATTCCTATACCCTAAACCCTAAAACCCTATTCCTATACCCCTAAACCCTAAACCCTAAAACCCTATTCCTATACCCTAAACCCTAAAACCCTATTCCTATACCCTAAACCCTAAACCCTGATGTTTCTACCTTTCACAAGACTCGACGAGGGTCCAAGCCTTCTCTGGGGGCTGTCAGTGGTCACCCGGCTTTCTTGGTTCCAACCGCTCATAGCTCTTCGAAACAGCCATAACAGAAACAAAGTAAACCACACACCATGAAGCACCCCCCCCCACTCTAAATTCCACTCATCACGCTGGAAGAACATAGGAGTGTTACATCCGGCACTCCGAGGTGTACCGAAAATTGTGTGTCCAGACAAGTACAATAGTTACTACATGAGCTTCTGAATAGGCCCCTATGCAAGGATCCTCGTAAAGCCTGCAAAGAAAAGCTAGTTCTTGGACCATAATCTCAACTTCACAGCAGGTGCTTGTACTCCGGAAGCTGTCACTGATGGGATGTGTTCAATTTAAGACGTAGGGATTCTCATTCAATCCCTTGGCCTGGGGTTTATGTTCCAAGTAAAAGACTACGCCGTAAAGTGCCCTAAAAGCCATGAGCCTTTAATTAAATCCCTTGCTGTTCTGACACCCTACTTTCTTTAAAGTTCCGCCTGTGAAGCACTAAACCTGAGACTCACAAAGCCTAAATACAGCCTCACTATAGCTGTATAAACCGTGCAAATCCTAAGACCCTAGAACCCCAAACCCTTAAACCCTAAACCCTAAACCCTAAAACCCTAAGACCCTAAGACCCTAAAACCCTAAAACCCTAAGACCCTAAACCCCTAAAACCCAAGCAGCATAAAGTGAAGGTCACAGATCCGGCCGACTACGGTCCTTTGGTCACCTCGGGAGACTTCGAGTCCGTCGCCGGGCTCTTGTTTAAAGAACTTCTCTGGGGTCCTTGGTTTAGGGTTTAGGGTTTAGAACTTCTCTGGGGTCCTTGGTTTAGGGTTTAGGGTTTAGGGCCGTGTTGGATACAATTGTACATGTTTGCTATAATATAAAACCTAATAATGACATTAAAAATGATCATTTTTGGTATGGCCCCAACAGAGAACCTTGACTTAGCTTCCTTAACAAGAATCCAGGTCGTCGGGGACCGTGAGCGCGCGGTGGGAACGCCACACGGCCTTCGGTAGTGTTTGGGGCTTTGGGGTGCTTCTTGTGGGGTGCTACTGTTCCTTTGACGGTTGTTTCTTACAGGGATTTTAGCTTGTTATTTTCAGGGGTATATAGGGGCGATCATATAGGGTTTTAGCATTTGAGACCGTTTGGGGTTTGGGGGTTGGGAGCGGTGATATAGGAGTAACCTGAATCCCTCAGAGCTAGTATATGATCGAGCCGAAGAGTCAATATAAGGGCCTTAATAATGACCTATACTATTTGGGGGGGCCTCCTTATTATGATCATAGTAGAATGGCCCCAAAAAACCATATTCTAGCTATTAAGGCCCCTATAAATTGCGTTTTAGTGAAAGCCTTAAACCCTAAACCCTAAACCTTATAAACGTTAAACCCTAACCCTAAACCCTAAACCCCTAAAAAGCACTTAGTTCAGGTTTCGGGAGTTCGTCTTCTTCCACGAGGAAGCGATCTATCCAGAGTTTGCGGTCTTCTACCGCCGGGAGCTGTAGAGGAACAGGGCTTTTATCTTCGTCTAAGGATCCCCAAAGTCAAAGCCCTAAGCCCTAAACCCCTAAACCCCTAACCCCCAAACCCTAAACAGGCAAGAAGCCTCGAGAATTTTAATCGCTTGACCTGCAAGCTCTGAACCTGAATGCGGATAGCTCTAAAGCCCTGCCGGATACTTCGGAACCCTGTAACTAAAACCTTAAATCCTGGTCGGTACACTTGCATAACCCTTTTGAACACCTTTGGGTGGCGGATCCCGTTTGCATGTCTGAACGAATGTATCTGTATGTCGGGCTCCCGGCTGAATTTGCCCTCCCTGCGCGGTGGCGCTGTGCGCAGGCGCCTGCGCATGCTCCGAAAACGGAAGAGGCTTTCCTTAAGGGGTCAGGTTTCAAAACAACCCTATACCCCTAAACCCTATAAACTCTCTAAACCGGCAGCTTCTGGTTTCAGGCTTTAGGGGGTCTCCGGCCCCTCGTCGTACTTGGCTCCTTTCTGCTTTCTGACGCTGTACAGAGCAAGTGGGACGCCTCAGCTGACGTGCACGTTGCCCCTACACCCTGGGGGTCCAAGTACCTGTATCTATCTATCTATCTATCTATCTGTCTATCTATCTATCTATCTGTTATAACTATCTATCTGTTCTATCTACGATCTACCTATCTAATCTGTCTATCTATCCTATCATATCAATCAATCTATCTATCCATCTATCTATNNTCTATCTATCTATCTGTCTATGTATCCTTCTATCCTTCAGGAATATCTGAGATCCTCTTAGGTCCTCAGGATTTAAGGTTTGGAGATTAGGCTAGGGTTTCCCTTTGCCGCCCGAGATTCCAGGCGCCCCCCCCCCCCCCCCCCCC